TGCTGCTGGTGCTGCTGCTGCTGGGCAGTGCATTTTCAGTGCCGGCACAGAGCGGGCCGACGGGCGTGTTCGCAGGTGTCGTTTCCATAGTGGGCTTCAACATGCTGGTGATTGCTTTTGCCACATTCTCGCGCGCTTTGGGCTGCCTCAGATCCTTCTCCTGTCGGCAGATCAAGCCAAGTCTGTGCTCTTCGAGTTGATTTATCTGTCTGCACGATTCTGCCAGCGTGAAGGCGTTAGGTGTCATGCTTTCTTGCAACCGGGACTGTTGGAAGCGTGGCTTGGGAGCAGCTTTGCTTTGCTTGGGGGTTACGGAAGGTAGCTGATCAGCGTTGCGAGGTTGGTGCGCACAGTGTTTTGCAAGGTTCCTGCTGTAAGACAACTCAAGTTGTGGAGCACGGTGTGAATTTCCAACATGGCCACTTGGCGGCTCTATCGTCAAACGTATACTGTAGCGGCTTGCAAGAATCACCAGCAAAAGTTGGGGGCCTTCTCAGAAATCTCGCCTGTCCGCCAGACCCGTGTCTGGTAAAGTCTTTCGCTGTGGATCAAGCTGGTGAGGGGGGAGCATCCCTCGCTCTGACAATCCTGTGCTTTCTGGCCTTTCAACCCAGCGAGGTTCAGACGAAACCTCCAAGTGATATGTGCATTGATCAAGCGTGATGGCTCCCCAGGCTGATACCATTTACTGGTCTACCAATACCAACTATTGGTTCATTGTTTATCGTTTTCCTTAGTCGGACGCCAGGTAAGGCCCCTCAAACAGGTTTCTCAAATTTTCGGGCTGGAAAAGGGATGATTGTCAGATTATACTCATTACCACCGTCAGTGTCACCTAAGTATTTTTTTCCGACAATGGCACTGCGGATCGAGTATCTGGGCAAGGCTTGACATGACAACGGCGAGAGGGTACAGTCATGGCAACATCAAACTCATCAGCACCCATCATGACAGGAACGGCTCTTCAGTTGCAGCATCAGTAGTATCCCGCAACTGCCCTTGATGTTGTGCATTTGGAGCATCAAATATGGTCACAGAAATTGAGAATGCAGAATCAATTGCGGGTACCTCTTTTGGTAGGCCTGGGAGCCGACGGCTTGCGACATGAGCTTCATACTTAAAAGATCTTAAAAGGGCGTAGGAAGAACTACCCCTGCTGACTGACCGGGCACATGACCTACAGTGGCCCCCTAAGATTGTGTGCTGGCAGAATGCATTTGGCATTGTTGTGCCATGAGCCCGGAGCGAATTCAGGGTTCGCAAAAACTTGCAGAGAATTCATTCGAGAACAAAACAAATTTTTTGATGGTTCCAAGAGAACGGAGCGTCACTGAACAAGATTGTTTAATATGTCATTTGCTGCCAGTTTCATATGCTTTCGGCACCTGGACGCTTGTTCCGAAGGAGAGGCAGGATCCGACACATGTTGAGTTTAGCCTTTGGACCTGGGCAGCTTCGTTTGCCCGGGACACAATGCTCTTTAAGGTGCTCGACGGAGCCATTTAGCTCGCAGACCGGTACCACGGCGGATGTGACTGAACAAGGGTGTGCATCTGAGGTTCTCTCAACCATGTTCACGGTAGGATAGCTTCACCCCGCTGTTTCTTTTCATGGGGAAAAGTGCTTGGACTCTTG